GTGGCTCAGTGATTGAGCATCTGTCTTTGGCTCAGGATGTGATCCTGGAGTCCGGGATTGAGTCCCACATTGGGCTCCCTGCCCAGAGCCTGCTTCTTCCTCTGCCTATGTCTCTGCTTCTCTCTGTGTGTCTCTCATGAATAAATAAATGAAATCTTTAACCATTTATTTTTAATTTTTTTATTTTTAATGTCATAAGTTTGATGTGTAATTTACCACCATGTAAAAAAAGTTTGGAAACTGCTAGTTTTGACAATAGTTAGCATTATATGCTTTATTCTGCATATTTTCTATTAGGAATCAGGTATTGCATGTGTTGATTGGGAATCTAAGTAATGGAAATAGAAAATTCTGTTATGATTAATACATGCATATTGATATATCTGAGAAAGGTATAAGAATACATGTAAAAATGTAAAATATATTACATATATAATACTTTTTTGATGCTGTATTCTTCTCTAGCTACCATTCCCTCTGCTGTCCTTCATGGTCAATCACTGTTGATTATAAGTGGTAGCATGTTTGTATTAGTTCCTTAGCATTTTACCTGGTCTGTCCTGCCTCCTTTACCTGGTACAGTAGTTCTTTGAAGGCAGAGTACATGCCTTGGGACTCCTTTAGATATCCTGTCTCCACATGGTACCATACCTAATGAACATGCTGCTCCCATCTTCCACTAACACCCTGGACTGGGTGAAACCTTATAAACACGTTTCCTCTTATTATTTCATTATAACAAATATTTATTGAGTTGTAGTAGGTGAATAAAAATAATGTGTGCCTTCAAGGAGATTAAAATCTAATCTTACTTCTACCATTTACAAGAATGATTCAATGCAGTTCTATTCTAATAAGGAGGATTAACTTTTTAAGTAATTGTAGGGGTGCTAAGAGTAAAAAAAAAAGTGCATCACTTCATGATGCACATTGCATACTCCTTATGGACATGGCAGGTCTTCTGCAGGAAAATAGCAGATTAGAGTAGGATGATGAATTAGGGCAGCAGAATGGAATGCCTTGGATGTTAGAAGAATGTGACATTACACAAGCTGGTGGGAAGCAGAGGGGTATTGAGCTGGGTTTTAAGAATGTTAGTCAGGGAGCCACCTGGGTAGTGCAGTTGTTTAAGCTTCTGACTCTTGATTTTCCCTCAGGTCATGATTTCAGGGTTTTGGGATCAAGTCCTGTATTGGGCTGTGTATCAGACTTCACGCGCAGTGCAAAGTCAGCTTGGGATTCTCTCTCCCTCTGCCCCCTCACCCCACACTCTCTCCCTCTCTTGCTCTAATGACTAAATCTTAAAAAAAAAAAAAAAAGAAAGAAAGAGAAAGAAAGTCAAAGAAAGAAAGAAAGAAAGTCAGTCAGTCAGTCTGGCAGCTCTATGGAACCAGAGAAGGAGCTCACTGGAGACAAGGAGTGGTAAGTAGCCTACTCCAGATGCACACATAAGAAGTAATGAGAGCTTGCTCAGATGTTGGCAAAAGACAGACCAAAAGGAAAAGGTACTGTGGAGAAAAAAAAGTGTGCCCTCATGATTAAAGATAATTGGTTGCAGTGGAGAAGTCAAAGGTAAGTGTATTGGGCTTTGTCATTAACAAATAGAAAATTAATAATGGTTTTGGGAGAAAAATGATTGATTTTACCTTGGATTTGTATTATCTAGTTCTGTGTAGCAAGTCATCCTAGAATTTAGCAGCTGAAATAACAAATATAATATCTCACACACATTTTCTAAGGGTCAGGAATCCAGGAGCAGCTTAGCTGGAAGGTTCCAGCTTAGCTCCTCTCATGAGGTTGCAGTCAAGATGTTGGCCAGACCTACAGTCATCTGAAGGCTTGACAGGGGGTGGAAGATCAGTTTCCAAAAGCTCTAACTTACAGAGGTGTTGGCTGGAGGCTGGAGTTTCTTGCTAGCTCTGACAGGAGGCCTCCACAAGGCTGCTTGAGTGTCTTCAGAATATGGCAGCTAATTTCCTCTGGAGTGAGTGATCCAAGGGAGCAAGCCTGGAAGAGACTGCAGTACCTTTTATGACTTAGTCATGGAAGCCACATAGCATCCCTTCTGCCATAATTTTTCACTAAAAATGAGTCCTAAATCTAGCACATACTCAAGGGGAGGTTAGACTCCACCTTTTGAAGGGAGGACTATTGAATAATTTGTAGACCTATTTTAAAATCCCCATAGGTATATTGTTTTGAAGACAAATGGAAATGATCATTCAAATGAAGATGTTAGGATAAAGTAATCAGGAGCATTTAGGGAGCCAAGTTGCCTGCATGTGGAAGTAGGTGGCAGCTAGCATGAAGATATTGAAAATGGAGAACCTCTCAAGGCAAGCTTCTTTACCAGTCTAGTTATTAATGGTCATTAATGGTCATTCTTCTCTTTCCCAGATTGTATTATCCAATTATTCTAACCTTTAAGTTTCCATTTGTAATTTCTTGTATTATTTTGTGTCTTTTCTCCAAAGCTTCTTATGAAAAATTTTAAACTCAAAGGAGAGTTGAAAGACTGGTATAATGAATGTCCATAAGTCCACTGTCTAGATTCAGTAATTGTTAATATTTTTACTTGCTCTAGATAAACTATCTAGTTTATCCATCCAAGTTTTTTTTTTGAACTATTCATTGGGTGGCATTCTTTCATAAAGAAGAGTTTGCCCTCAACAATTGCATAAACTACAGAGTCTCTAAAAAGGCAGGGTACAGACTTAATTCTTTTTCCTTAATTACTAATTTTCAGAGTGAGGAAACTGATGTAACAGTCATTTGTAATGGGAGCTTTGGACTTAAATCCAAAGGTACCACATGCATAATCTGTATATAATGCCAGACATTCGTGGAGGTTGTGCCATTTTGCACTACTACCAACAGTGTCAAAGAAAGTGTTTTTCCACAGCCCCACCAAGGAAGTCTGTTGTCAAACATTTGAATTTTTGCCAAATGTGAGAAAATGGTATCTTGTAGTTTTAATTTTTCTGAATGAGGTGGAACATCTTTATGTTCTAAGAGCCATTTGCTTTCCTTTCTCTGTGTTCTATGTCTTTTGCCTATTTATCTAAAGAGTTTTTGGTCTTGTTTTCACTTGAGGAGTTTTAAATGCTAGGACATTTAGCCCCTTGTTTTCTTTTCTTTTCAAGATTTTATTTATTTATTCATGAGAGACACACACAGAGAGGCAGAGACCTAGGCAGAGAGAGAAGCAGGCTCTCTGCAGGGAGCCCGATGTGGGACTCGATCCCAGGACCCTGGGACAACGACCTGAGCAGGCACCCCATCCCCTTGTTTCTAATAGAAGTTGAGATGCTTTTTCACCAATTTGTCATTAGTCTTCTGACTTTGCTTATGGTGTTTTTATGATGTGCAGAGATTTACTTTTCTGTTCTGAATGTATTGGTCTTTTTATTGTATGTGGATTTTAAGCCATAGTGAGAAGGTTTTTCCCACACGCATGTTATAAAGAAGTTCATCTTTGCTTGCTTTTAGTACTTGTGCAGTCCCCTCTCCCTCCCACTGCTCTGAAGGAGACTCCCCCTGAGTCTCCTTCAGAGTCCTTCCATTTTTCTTTTTAACATTTGGATCTCTGAACCCTTTTGAGTTTATTCTGGCATATGTTCTTTTTCCAATGGCAGTTCTGTCCAGTGTTTCCTCGGTGATTTGAGCTATCCCCTTTATCAGATGCCAAATTTCCAAAAACTTTTGCGTTCTTGAATTTTCTATTTTGGGATTTTCTGTTTTGTTCTGTAGCAGTCTGGGTCCAATCAGGAGTTAGAAACTACATAATCAGTTCAACAGGGGAGTTTTAATATAAAGAATAACTATGATGAGAGATTAAGTATAATAATTAAGTATAATAAATATTAAGTAAACTATAAATGGAACCTCAGGGGGGAGGGAGAACACTCAAGAAAGGACAGATTTGGAAGGGGTTTGGACCTCCTTGTGAAAGGTGGGTGGGCCACTAACTAGCAGAGATTTTTGCCAGTTTAGCCAAGGCCAGAGCCGGTCTAAGGTGGCTGGGCAGGCAGGAGGACAGCTTCGGGGGTGCTGCCGGAGAGCGGGTGATCAGCAGCTGGCAGCGTGGTGGTGGTTTGAAGGTGCTGTGGGTTGAAGGAGGTGGGGGCACAGAAGGCCTTCACAGTGTGCCCGTAGCACCAGGGGAGGAGGTTTGTACAAGGAACAACTTTTTTATGACTTGTCAGGCCACAGTCTGGACAGGTGACTGTGGAAAGGTTATCGCCACGCCGTCTTTGCAAACTTGCAGAGGGACCTCGTTCTGGACCCGCAGCGATGCCAGACTCCACTGACTGTTCTCACCCCCCCAAACCCCCACCTCTGCTGGCACCCTAAGTACTACCAGCAGCCTCTTGCTCCCGTGGTGTCCCTGCAGCGCCCTCTACTGAGAGCGCTTAGCAGTGCGCTCACTTGAACCCGGTAAAGCACCTCCAGGGCTTAGCGTAGGCTGTACCCCCAAGGGTGCATTGGAAGCTGAGAAAGCAATAAATGGATAACTGACGAGGGCACGTTGGCCTGTCTGTTCCTTGTGTTTTATTGCTGGCGACTCGTGTACCTGAATATCTGTTAATGCTGTCCGTGCTCACTGACCTGCTCTTTCAAGGTCTTCTTGGTTATGCTTGTTTATTTTTCCATAAGAACTTGAAAACAAACGTATCTAGTTCCAGAAAGGGAGGGGAGGAAGGGAGAGAACTTGGCGTTTTAATGTAATCCTGTATTTTTTTGATTTTTTAAAAGTATAATAAATTCTTGTGGTTAAAAACAATTCTTGTAGCTAACCACAACAAAAGTAATAAAGGAGTGAATAAAGTAGCAAATGAGAGTTCCATGCCTCCCATTCACACCCCCCGAGGTTAATATTTTGGGGTCTGTCTTTCAGGATGTGTTTCTAAGCACGTGTGTAAGTAATAAATATGTTTGGACATTTTGAATAGTTAGGCCTGTAGCTGTAACTTAGAAATGTCTTTTGTTTTTCTCTACAGCCGTCGTACCTGCCCATGAGTCTCTGAGAACATCATAATGTCCCTTTGTGCCTCTTCTCACAAAGAGTTTCCTCAGCTGTTGCCTATTCAAGACATGGATATCAAAAACTCTCCATCTAGCCTTAACTCTCCTGCTTCCTACAACTGCAGTCAATCTGTCCTACCCCTGGAGCACGGCCCCATATATATACCCTCCTCCTACGTAGAGAGCCGCCATGAATATTCCGCCGTGACCTTCTATAGCCCTGCTGTGATGAATTACAGTATTCCCAGCAGTGCCAATAACTCAGAAGGTGGACCCAGTCGGCAGACCACGAGCCCAAATGTGTTGTGGCCAACTCCCGGACACCTCTCTCCCTTAGCCATCCATTGCCAGTCGTCACTTCTGTATGCAGAACCTCAAAAGAGTCCTTGGTGTGAAGCAAGATCACTAGAACCCACCTTACCTGTAAACAGGTAAATTCAGTCTTCATTCTGAATTGTACTTCGGGGCATTATTCGAATCACTTTATGATGTAGTGAGAAGAAAGATATGCATCATTCAAGGTCTTTATTCATCACATAGATTACTTAGAGCACCTAACACATGATATTCTGAATTCTAGAATATCTATTCTGATTTTGAATCCTCATTAAAAAGTAAGCTTGTGCATCTGGGTTGTGGGGAGAATTCACTCTCATGACTACCGTTTTTAGACATTAAAGATTGAACTTAAATCACCTTTTTCTTGATGAAGTGACATGTTTGAAAAAGAAGTTTTTGCTTTACTTTCAAGTTAAATCCCTCTTTAGTGAAATCCAATTTAGTGTACATGACACACTGTGTCCAGGATAAAGGCAACTGTGGCAGTATTACTACTTAAATGAAATACACTGGACATACGAAGCCTGAAAACAGACAATAATTGGTGTAAGCTTTTTAGCAGTGAACTAAAATAACATTTGATAAAGATTGGTGGGAAACTAAATGTAGACTTTAGTTGAAATTACTTGAAGCTCAAAAGAGTATTTGTACTCTTCCAAAGCAAGGTAACGTGATGGTTATTTCCATTTAATTTGTAATGTGTTTAATGATAATTACAGCTAAGGAGGGAAGAGGTTGTGCTGGGAGAAAGATGAGGAGGAGGTAAATTTCTAAAACAACCAAAGTATTAATTCACTGCATATTAGATATTGAAATTTGTTACTTTCAAATGCTGTCGTAACACTTCGAGAAAGCCACATCACACAGTACTTTTATTTTTCTTCGTTTTTAAGAACTTTGTTGGTGAAAGAGAATATATATGTTGTACATGACTTTTTTAAAGTACTGTTTTTCACTCAGCTTTCAAGGGGAGATATTTTGTTTCTGAGCACAAGATCTAATCAGAGTTCTGCTAATATTAGGGACATCAACCCATAGTATAATTATCCTCATGTATGAATCAATCATATTTCTAACACTTTCTTTCCAAAAGAAACATGGCCTAGCAAAATTAGGAACTAACCACATGTGCTTTTGGTGTCTGCCAGTGCTGCCTTGACCAGCTGTCCTTTCCTGTATGGGAGCCCCTGCCCCTCTTTCCAGCCCTGAGCACCTGCTTCCTTCAGAACCTTCTTTAAGGACGCACACATGTCTACTTTCTTCCCCTCTCTTCTCCTTTCTCTTTTTTTTTCCTCTGGCCTTCCCTGCCCTTCCATGTTCATCTCTACCCTCCCCTACTCTTCCCTCCCCTTTCCCTCTCTCTCTCTAAACCAGAGTATAGTATCACTTCAGTATAACATAAAGTGCGTTTGTTACTCCTCTTGAAGTTATTTTTTTCTAGACCTTCATCTTAAATTGCAGAATGAAAGGTTCTCCCCACCCCCCCATTTGAATGGGAACTCTGAAAGGTAACACTTGAAAATAACTGCTACTTGAAAATGGGTAGGTAAGTTTAGACCCATCTTTACAGCATTGATGAATTCCAGCAAAGGTACTTCCTGCTGTGGTTCAGACCTGTGGGTAACACTTGCTCAGGTCACTTGTTACACTCAGACATGTGCAGCCTGATGGCTACAACTGACCATCTGTAGTTACTAGTGCTCATTGGTGCTGCATGGATGGGCATAGACTCCCGTAACCATTTTCAAACAGCAGTCATTCCCAACAGTGTGATTCTTCATAGATCTGATATCAGCAACAAAGGTGCTTGATCAGATTTCTTGGAATATATTTATCATGAGCCCTAGAGGGCAAAGAGGTAAATTAGGCAGTGTTCATGCTATTTTTTTCCCTAGAAAGTCCATCTTTTCTCTTAATGCTGTCTTACAATGAATGTTTTCTTTGCCCCCAGAGAGACACTGAAAAGGAAAGTTAGTGGGAGCAGTTGTGCCAGCCCCGTTACTAGTCCAAGTTCAAAGAGGGATGCCCACTTCTGTGCGGTCTGCAGCGATTACGCATCTGGATATCACTATGGAGTCTGGTCGTGTGAAGGATGTAAGGCCTTTTTTAAAAGAAGCATTCAAGGTACAAGAGTATTGTTAGCTGCTTCTTTAGTTTTCTATTTTTGCTTTCAAATACTTTTGTAGATGACTTGGCAGAAATTTCACCACTGGCCTGTTTGGAATATAAAGTACTTGATGAATGGTTCATAGGATCATGTGTGTTTGGGGTTGGGGTGGATGGTGGAGTGGATTGTTTCAAGTGTAGAGCACCTTATCCTTTAATTGTGGATCTTTACTCCAGAGCTTCAGAACTTGAATGGATCTCTTCCCACAATCATCCATCACCACCTCTTACTGGTTTTTGATTTGTGGTTACCATTAGGTTTGTATATAACATCTTATGTGTATATTAATTTATATTAGGCTGGTGATATCTTAAATTTGAACCCAATCTTTACTCTTCTCTGCTATCTTTCAGATATATGGTGTCATACTTTACAGTCTTTTATTTTGTGACTCCCTTGACTGATTTTTATAGATACATTTAATTTTACTCCTTTTGTGCTTACTCCTGCTTATGGTTTTTCCACTCAGAGTCCCCTTTAACAATTCTTGTAGGACTGGTTTAGTGGTCATGAATTCCTTTTGTTTGTGTGGGGAACTCTTTATGTCTCTTTCTATTCTGAGTGATAGCCTTACTAGATAGAGTATTCTTGGTTATTGTTTTTTTCTTTCAGTACATTGAGTATAACATGGCACTCTCTTCTGACCTGCAGAGTTTCTGGTGAAAGATTAGTTGACAGCCTTATGGGGGGTCCTCTTATGTGTAACTTTTTTCTGCTGCTTTTAAAATTCTCTCTTTATCACTACTTTTTTTTGCATTTTAACTACTATATGTCTTGGTGTGGACCTCCTTGGATTGATTTTGTTGAGGGCTCTCTGTGCCTCCTGGATCTACATTTCTATTTACTTCCCCACATTTGGGAAGTTTTCATCTATTATTTCTTCAAGCAAATTTTCTGCCCCTTTCCCCACTTTTTCTCCTTCTGAGACCCCTTTATTTTTATTTATTTATTTTTTAAATTTTTATTTATTTATGATAGTCACACACAGAGAGAGAGAGGCAGAGACACAGGCAGAGGGAGAAGCAGGCTCCATGCACCGGGAGCCCGATGTGGGATTCGATCCCGGGTCTCCAGGATCGCGCCCTGGGCCAAAGGCAGGCGCCAAACCGCTGCACCACCCAGGGATCCCTCTGAGACCCCTTTAATGCAAATGTTATTATTATGCTTGATGGTGTTACTGAGTCCCCTAAGTCTTTATTAATTTTTCATTTTTTTCCTCTCTCCTGTTCAGCTTGATTGCTCTCCATTACTTTGTCCTCCAGGTTGCTGATATGTTCTTCTGTTCCTTATAGTGTATTATTTTTATTTTTAGTTGTTGAGTTCTTTTATTTATTTATTTATTTATTTATTTATTTATTTATTTATTTATTTATTTATTTAAAATTTGTATTTATTTATGATAGAGAGAGAGAGGGGCAGAGACACAGGCAGAGGGAGAAGTAGGCTCCATGCACCGGGAGCTCGACGTGGGACTCTATCCCGGGTCTCCAGGATCGCGCCCTGAGCCAAAGGCAGGCGCTAAACCGCTGTGCCACCCAGGGATCCCCAGTTGTTGAGTTCTTAATCTCTGATTGGTTCTTTATTGTGTTTTCTGTTTCTTTGTTAAGAGTTTCACTGAGGTCCTCCATTCTTTTCTCCAGTCCAGTGAGTTCCTTTATGACTATTACTTTAAATTCTCTATCAGGCATGTTACTTTTCTCTGTTTATTTAGGTCTCTTGCTGTGATTTTTGTCCTATTCTTTCATTTGGGACATGTTCCTCTGTCTCTTCATTTTGTCTAACTCTCTGTGTCTGTTTCTATGTGTTAAGATATATATGTGTTAAGAAAGTCAGCTATGTCTCCTGCTCCTGAAAGTAGTGGTCTTATAAAGAAGAGATCCTGTAGTGCCCTGCAGTGTAATGTTCCCTGTTTATCAGACCTGGTGCTTAAGAGGTGTTGTCTATGTGTGTTGTATGTACCCTACTATAGTGGCCAAGATGCTTCTGCCTTTAGTCCAGTTGTCTGCAATGACCCTCTTTGCCTGTTGTGGGCAGGATTTAGTCCCTGCATTGTTAGTTGGCCAATCTGGAGCTGCCTTAGGCTTGAGTTGAATCAGACCAGGCATTTGCCAGAGATATAATAACACTGAACTGTAAGACACTTTCCCTGAGTTGTCCTCTGAGAAGCTTTTGTTGGTAGGTGAGGCCAGCAGACTAGCTGTGCACCCCAGCCCACTGCTGGGGCCACAGTTGTACTGGTGTGTGTGGTTATCTTTCCCTCTCCTTAGGGGAGGAGTCACTTTGGAGTTGGCCCCTGTTGTGGTTGCTTGTATACTGCCAGGCTTGTGGCACCACTTTGGATGGGCTCTGGCCAAGGCTGTATGGAGTGGGGGTGGCAGGTCTGCAGATGAACATAGGCCAGGGCAGGCCTGCCTTTAGCAAATTATGTGGAAGATATTGGCAGTGTGCTGGTTCTCACAGGTGTTTGTGTGTCTAGGCTGGGATCAGGGGGAGGGAAATGGTGCCCAGCAGCGTCTTTGTTCCTAGATGATCTGTGCCCCTCGAGCACATACTCTGAGATTATTAAACAAATTTCCCTCCCATATACCCCAGGCATTTTTCAATGCCTGCTGCTTCTATTTTCTATCTCTATAGGGCTGTTTGTTGTACTATCTCTTTAAGGGCAGAGACTGTTTCCTCTTGCCTTCCCAGCTGTCTCAGAGCCAAGCCTGCTGAGTTTAAAGTTCCACCTACTAAATCCTGCTCATTGTAAGAACTCACAGAATTATCCCCCTCTGCTTTTCAAAGCCAAATGTTATGGGAATTCATCTTACCTGTGTGCGTTCTCTGTACTTGGGGTACCTTGTGTGATAGTCTGTTCATCCCCACTCTCCAAGCCTGCAGGTCTCTCCCTCCCATGGACAATCCCATAGGTCTGTCCCCATAGGTATGTTTAGGCCCCAACTGCCTTTCCACCCTTCCTACCCTCTTTGATGTAGCCTCTTCTCTACATTTATCTGTGGAGAGTCTGTCCTGTCAGTCTTTGGATCATTTTCTGGGTTATTTACACTGATGTGGATGTTATCTAGTTGTATCCATGGGGTGAAGTGAGCTTAGGATCATCCTATTCTGCCATCTTCCCCAGGAGTCCCTCTTTGCAACCCTTGTGAAGATAAAGCTGGAAGCAATGTGCTTGTTAGGAATTACAAAGATCGTTTCTTCCTTTGGCTTATGTTTAATATTTGGCATGTGTAAGAGTCATGGTGGGATGGCTCCTGATAGAATCTAGAAGGTGGTGAAGGGTAGAAAGTTAGTAGTACAGAGTTACCTTCCCTTGAAATTCAACCTGTATAGATGACTACCTATTTGTCCTGGATCTTCTACTTAGTAGCTCTAAGACATTACGTCTTAGCCTGTTTCCTCCTCTGTGAAATGGAGATAATTACAGATTTGTTCTCAAACAGTCTTTTTTTTTTTTAATTTTTTTAAATTTATTTATTTATGATAGTCACAGAGAGAGAGAGAGAGAGAGAGAGAGAGAGAGAGAGAGGGAGAGGCAGAGACATAGGCAGAGGGAGAAGCAGGCTCCATGCACCGGGAGCCCGATATGGGATTCGATCCCGGGTCTCCAGGATCGCACCCTGAGCCAAAGGCAGGCGCCAAACCGCTGCGCCACCCAGGGATCCCCAGATTTGTTTTCAAATGAAATGGAGGTGTCTGGGTGGCTCAGTTGGTTAAGTGTCTGACTCTTGATTTCAGCTCAGGTCACAATCTCTGGTTGTGGGATTGAGCCCTGTGTCAGTCTCCATGCTCAGTGGGGAGTCTGCTTGAGACTCTGTTTCTCTTTCCCTCTTCTCCCCATCTCATGCACACACACATTCTCTCTAAGTAAATGGGTAAGTAAAATATTTTAAAAATATATAAAAATAAAAATGCAATGAAGTTGGTTATATGAAAACATTTGGTCATTTATAAACTTCATGCAAATTTAAGATATTCTAGTTTTCTAACTCTTCTGTATTGAGATATGAACATCTTTTCTTTCTTTTTTGTGTTTTTCTTCTAATTCTAATCTTATTTAAACCCACCTTCTCTAAGATCTTCATAGCTGGGTGGATCAGGGCCCTCTGCCAATTAAAAACTTAATTTTATTGAAAGATAAAACATCACAGATAAAGGAAGAATGTGTCATCAAATATTATCAAAACATAAATTGTATCATTTGCTTATTTATAATTGCTTTTACACAACTTTTCATTCTGTATTTAACATATTTAGGTACTTTAATATTTTTACTTATAATTCTAGTAGTAAATTATAATAAGGCCAAGCCTACTTGCTTGCTATTATATAGTAAGAACAATTCAAATTTCTAAAATTCAGAACTGAACTCTTGATATGATATGACAATTCTCTATCTTGTTGAGATTCTACAATTTTATTCTTTAAGGAAATCTTGACCCAATACAATTAACTATATCCTTTGAGAAAGGTCCTTTTTATTTGCTTTTGGGAAGAAATCTCTACCTGAAAAAAAAAATATATATATATATGGAGAAAAGGGAATCCTTATGTACTGATGGTGGGAATTAAATTTGTGCGGTCATTGTGGAAAACAGTATTGGAGGTTCCTCAAAATATTAAAAACAGAATTACCATATGATCTAATAATTCCACTACTGGAAATTTATCCAGAGAGAACAAAAAAACCAATTTAAAAAGAGATGTGCACCCCTGTGTTTATTGCAGCATTATTTACAATAGCCAAGGTACAGTAACAATCTAGGTGTATGTCAATAGATGAATGGATAAAGAAGCTACATACATGGTAAAATATTACTCAGCCATAAAGAGGATGAGATCTTGCCATTTGCAACAGCATGGTTGGACCTAGAAGGTATAGTGCTAAGTGAATTAAGTCAGACATAGAAAGACAAAACACCATATGATTTCACTTATATCTAGAATCTAAAAACAATTTCCCCCTAACTTCCCAAGACCTAGTAGCCATTGACCTAGTTTCTTTCCGTATAGTTTTGCCTTTTGCTAGAATGTCATATAATTGAATCATTAGGTAACCATTTATGTATTGCTTCTTTCACTTATCATGATGCTTTTAAGTTTTATCCATGTACCTATGGTTCATTCCTTTTTGTTACTGGGTATTATTCCAATATATAGATCTACCACAGTTTATTCATTTGGGGTATTTCCAGTTTTGTGCTATTTTGAATAAAACTTCTATGAGTGTTCATGCTAATCCCTCTATGTAGACCTACATTTTTGTTGGGGAAATATCTAGGAGTGAAATTGCTGGTTGTATGATAAGCATATGTTTAATTTTATGGGCAACTAACAAACTGTTTCCAAGGGGGTTGAACCATGTTGTATTCTCAAAAGTAACATGAGACTTCCAGTTGCTCTACATCCTTATAAAAATCCTTGATATTATTAGCCTTTTTAATTTTAGATATTCTATTGGGTATATAATTGTGTTTCATTGTGGTTTTAATTTGCATTTCCCTGATTACTAATCATTTTGAACATCTTTTTATGTGTTCATTGATTTTTTGTCTCTCTCTATAAATTCTTATGTATAGTTTTATTCTGTTCTGTTGACCTAGTTCTTCATTCTTGTAAGTACCACATTATTTTAATTATTATAGTTTTATTTTTTACTTTTACTATTATAATTTTATAATGCATTTAAATACATACCAATATAAATACCTCCTATTTTAAAAGTATTCTGGCTATTTTCTTTATTTATCCATAGGAACATTAGAATAATTTTATTAAGTGACCTCCCATCCTTAATGTTAAGAAAAGTGGAGATTTTGTTAAACCTAAGGATTATTTTGGAAGGAATCTTTGTAATATTCTTCACAGTAAGAACATATTCTGTCTCCATTTATTTAGGTCTTTGTATCTCTTATACAGTTCTGTTATTTTTTTTTTAATTTTTATTTATTTATGATAGTCACACACAGAGAGAGAGAGAGAGAGAGAGAGAGAGAGAGAGAGAGAGAGGCAGAGACACAGGCAGAGGGAGAAGCAGGCTCCACGCACCGGGAGCCCGATGTGGGATTCGATCCCGGGTCTCCAGGATCGCGCCCTGGGCCAAAGGCAGGCGCCAAACCGCTGCGCCACCCAGGGATCCCCCAGTTCTGTTATTTTTTAAAAACTATGTGTATCTGGTATCCTTCTCAGTGGTATTTCTGTAAATTTCCTTCTTTTGGGCTATTTATTTTACATCCAAATGTAACAGTGGCACTATTCTATTCACTTTCATATTGGTGTTCATAAAAAACTTTTATCATTGTCCTTTGAAAGTTGAAATCTATTTAAGTGCCACTCACAAATCTTTAAGGCTTTGCTTTTCACAGCTTTAGAGGCTGGGCTTTAAATGGGAAGCTCTGACAGCTAGTAGGTTATGTAGGAAATTCTTACCTTGGAGGCACATATTCCATTACTTGGGACTTATTTGGCCTTGAAGTCATGGAGGATGTCCTGAAGGAACAAATGCTAAGTTGTTGCCTGCTGCTGAGGGACAAGCATGCCAGGGAGGGTGCGGGTGATAAATATTGCTCTGTGACAAGTGCAATATTGTGACAAGTGACAACACCGGGAGGCTGAAAGGAGCTGAAACTCAGATATTCTGATCTGAAGTCCAGGGCTGTCTCTCCCCTCTATGAGGTTGGATATAAATGACAATAGGTAATCAGACTCAGTCTATAATTTTGTAGAGAGTACAGAGATAACCTGTTATGTTTAGATGATAAAAAGCACATTTTCCTATAAAGCTTTATATCTTCAAGAATTAGCTACATATTTTGCTTTTAATTTGGCTTTGAGCTTTTCTCTGAATTCATTAGTATGGAATTGTGTGCTTTACAGACTGTTGCATGAACAAGAAAACCATTTTATTTTTTTAGAGGGGGAGGGGCAGAGAGAGGGAGAGAGGGAGAGGGAGAGAGAGAGAGAGAGAGAGAGAGAGAGAGAGAGAGAGAGAGAATCTCTAAGCAGACTCTGCATTGAGTGCAGAACCTGACATGGGCTCCATCTCACAGCCCTGAGATCATGACATGAACTGAAATCAGGAGTCAGATGCTTAACTGACTGAGCCACCCAGGTGCTCTGAGAAAACCATTTTAATATGTGAGATAGTATACTTTCAAGAGGGCTTTTTTCTTTTTTGTCAATTACCTTGACCTTCTTGCATAAGACATTTTCTAGGCCGTTTTTAGTGTGTTTATATTCTTGTGCTTTCTGATTTTTTTAAGTAAAATTATCTTTTAAAATAAACTCTGAGGGGAAAATAATGAACCTCTAGTCCCTTAAATGCTTATTGTTATAAACCTCTTTATAAAACCAAAAAGGATGACATCATATGTATTGTTCTGTGAATTTTTAGAAGGTCCTTGAAAGATTGCTGCTACCATGGAAAGTACTGTAGGATTACATTTACCTTTTAGCCATAAAGCGTCTGTTCTAGAGGACAATCAAAAGTTTCTGATTGGAAATATATCTTGATTTTTAAAATATAATTTATTTTTGAATATTATAAGTGAGGATAAAAGCAATAACAAGATAATTATCTATTCCTTTTAAAAAATGTTGCGCCTTACCTTATATTACCCCATACTCTTGAGTGTGTGTGTAACCTGTAAATATGAGTCACTCCTTTGGTTAGGGTATCTAACATGGAAAGTGGTATTGGGGGAGTCTCGTGATTATGCTGTAATTGTGTAAGACTCCATCATGGCCGAGTGAAGACAGACTGAAAATCAGACAAGTGCCCCTCCTAGCCTGAAGGAAAGCAAGCATCATGCTGTGAACTGCTTTTGGGCAGGGAACTGGTACCTTTATGAGTTGACAGCAGTGTCCAGCTGGTAACCATGGTAAAAATGGGAGCCTTGGTCCAACAACTGCAAGGAGCTGATTCTGCAAACATCCTATATGAGCTTGGAAGAGGACCCTGAGCTTCAGATGAAACCACAGCCCATCCAACACCTTGATTGCAGCCTTTTGAAACCCTGAGCAGAGTAAGCTGTGCCTGGATTCCTGACTTGTGGAAATCAGATAATAAATTTGTTTGGTTTTAAGCTTATAAGTTTGTAGAAATTTATTATGCTGCATGGAAAAGGAAAACCATGACCTTAAGGAGATTACTGAATGTGTTTTCTCTTAAAAAAAAAAAAATGGGGACCATGGCTTTTCATAGGGAAGTTATAGGGTTAAAGGAAATGATAAAGAATCTGGAAATCAGCAGGTAGTCAGAAATGTTGATGTGCCAGCTTTCCTGTACGTGGCTGTTATGAGGGTCACTTGACGGTGGTTTTTGCCCCTCGGCTAAACTGTCTTACTATTCCTAGAACTATGCAGTCCATACCCTTGCTGCCACCCCCGGTCGGCCCAGGGAATGGTGGTAAAGTCACAAACAACTGATTTTCAATTTGTGTTTGATTGAACAAGTGTTATTGAATCTACCTAAAGTGGGAGAGAATTATAAAATTTGATTTTGATCCAATCGTAAAACCATGTTTTTTGGTCCATGAGTCAGGTAGGGTGGCTCTACCTCTCAGGGTTCGGCTCTGAGTTCTGGGTCAAGTTCAGGTCTGCACTGCGTTTGCACAGATTAGTGGCTACCTGAGGCTTTTTTTCCCCCCCTCTTGGGAGCTCAAGAGGCCAAGGTAAACTGTTGGAATATCCCTTCTACTAGCCTACCACTGGCTGATGCAAGTTTCATGGCCAAGCTCAGCATCAGTTAGTAGGCAAACACAACCTATCCACCTTGATGCCCTGTGAGTTACAGGGCTGAGGGAGGCAGTGGGGACTTGGAACAATAATCACAGCCAGCCTCAAGTGGCAGTTCTTTTGGTTCTTTAGTTTGCTAATTTTTTTTATCTTCTTGTTGATTAGTTTCCTTCTCTGACTATGAATTCCTATAAAAATGTCATGTTAAATTCTAAAGAGGTATATATATAAAAGAATATAAGTAGTTGAATTTGATGACTTGATACACAAGTGCTATTCTTGAGCAGTTCTGTGATTTGCAGCACCAATTTCAGGCAACTGTCTTACTTTCCATGTCCAAAGGAGAATATTTCTAATGAATCTCTTGAGGATTCTACGAACATGCAGAGGATAGCCTATTAGTCAAAGAAAGAATAAGATGTGGAAATATTCCTAGGTTATCTTCACTCCCTAACAAGGCACTGATGAGGGCAAACTTCACCCTTTGTTACCCATATCTGCATTAAGAAGATATCCCCTGGGCACCTGGGTGGTTCAGCAGTTGAGTGTCTGCCTTTGGCTTGGGTCGTGACCCTGGGGTCCTTGGTTCGAGTCTCTCATCTGGCTCTCTGCAGGGAGCCTACTTCTCTCTCTGCCTATGTCTCTGCCTCTCTGTGTCTCTCATAAATAAATAAAATCTTAAAAAAAAAAAAGAAGATATCCCTTGCTTCTCAGCTGGGTAGCATTATCAGTGTTGACTAGAATATTGAATCAAAATACAGTAATAATAGCCTGACCCCCCCTTTTTTTTTTCTGCTGCAGGACATAATGATTACATATGCCCAGCTACAAATCAGTGTACAATAGATAAGAATCGACGCAAGAGCTGCCAGGCCTGCCGACTTCGGAAGTGCTATGAAGTGGGAATGGTGAAGTGTGGTAAGTTTTTGCTTCCCCTTTCTTTCTTTCTTCTTTCTTTTTTTTTTAAATTTATATTTATTTATGATAGTCACACAGCGAGAGAGAGAGAGAGAGGCAGAGACATAGGCAGAGGAAGAAGCAGGCTCCATGCACTGGGAGCCCAACGTGGGATTCGATCCCGGGTCTCCAGGATCGCGCCCTGGGCCAAAGGCAGGCGCTAAAACGCTGCGCCACCCAGGGATCCCACTTCCCCTTTCATCATATATTGGCCATGCTGACAGCGTTGACAGGTAGAGGGACTAGGGACAGGGCCTGAGGACTTGGTAATTACCTTCAAGTATGCATATGCTGTCACACTGGAGGGGGTTGTTAATTTGTCTCATGTAGCTGTGGAGGACCGAGCTGAAGTGAACAGGAACAAGCTATGGTAGGCACATTTGGGCCCAATATAAGGAAGATCTTTCTATGATTCAAGTGGTCTGACAACATAATAGGCTGCTGCATGGGGATCCCTGGGTGGCGCAGCGGTTTGGCGCCTGCCTTTGGCCCAGGGCGCGATCCTGGAGACCCGGGATCGAATCCCACATCGGGCTCCCGGTGCATGGAGCCTGCTTCTCCCTCTGCCTGTGTCTCTGCGCCTCTCTCTCTCTCTCTCTCTCTCTCTCTGTTACTATCATAAGCAAATAAAAAAAAATTAAAAAAAAAATAAATAATAGGCTGCTGCATGAATTAGAGAATTCTAGCCACTGAGGTACTCAACTGGGTTGGATAAATATCTGCCTGAGGCCTTGAGAAGACTGAGGATGAAGTTCTGGTAAATGTTCAGTTAAAGCTGTGACAAGAAAGTAGAATATCTTATGAGTTACTTGGATAGCTGTGGGAAAGACTCATGCCTATTAAGAGAAGATACATATAGGAGTCAGAAATATGATAGAATTATGGAAAGCATGTAGAATATAGATTCTGTGTTATGGTGGTAAGTATGCATATATATGTGTACATACATATGTGTGTGTATCCGCACGTAGATGCACACATACATAAAAAACAAAGACAAATGGGCACATAACAACTGACAATAATGCCTACATCCCGCGTTCTCTACCTGGCTAATTTTTGATTCATTTGTCTGTACACACATGCTGAGTTATGCACACTCACATCAGCTCTGCCTATACTTCTCCTGTTATTCTGCTAGATGGTATTTTGCCTGTGGTTAGGTGTAATTTCTCTCTTAGTAACTGTTTGAAAAATTTAAAACAAAAGTCTCTTTTCTCTCTGACGTTTCTTAGGAGCTCTGCCTTTTAAACATGCTCTTCCCTTTTTAAAAATATATATTAGACGAGACATCTCATCCAGCTATATTATAGTATAGCAGAAGTCTTCTTATTTGATCACACTTCTCTGGCTTCCTAGAATCATTGATGTTTTCTGTTTTCTTTATAAAATACCCTACCCATGCCCATGACCTCCCAGTGTGTATTGGTTACTCTCTAAAACATTCCAGCATTTCTGTCCCCCACTTCAGTTATACCCTTATCAGTAACCATTGGGCTTCTTCTAAAACCTGTTGCTACTCATTGTAACTGTCAAATTATATCATTTAATTAGAATTTATGCAAGCATATGCAACATGGGTAGGAAAAGACAATCGTTTCTGTGAAAGCTTTGGATAAAACTGTAAAGGAGGGGCACCTGGCTGGCTCAGTTGACTCTTGACCTCAGGGTTGTGAGTTCAAGCTCCATGTTGGATGTACTGCTTACATTAGAAAATACCCCCCAAACTGTAAAGGACTAGTAGCTATTGAGTTAGGTATGAGTGAGATTGGGGGAGGGGTCATAAACCTAGAAAAATTCTGAATTTGGATTGCTTTATAAGTGTTTAAGTTCTTGCTGTTTTGTGTTTTAACAAAGCTGGAATTGAAAATTCAGAGACAGTGTAACACAGATGTGGCTTATGTAGGAAAGTCACTTCTGATTTAATTGGCAGAGGTACTTAAAAAGCCTTGGGTCTTTGACGAAAGATTGCAAATAAATGTTTCATATTTTAAGTTAATATTTTAAAGTTGAGTATATTTTTTAAGAAGTGATTTATGATTTAGTCTTAGGGTTAGAATGCTTAGGTCTTTAGGGTTTAGAATGCTTTAGTCTTAGGGTTATAGTACTTCCATCCTTTGGACAGCTCTAGCTGTAGCCCTGGTGGTTCAGGACCAAGGCAGGAGCACATGCATAATCTGTCTGCAGGAGGTGGTGTATATGGTGGAAATAACAAGAGGACAGGATTCCCAAAAACTGAATCTCATTTTTTTCTCATTACTTCTTGCTGTGACTATGCTCAAACTTAACCTTTCTGACCCTCGGTTTTCTTATCTCTGAAAGGAAGATACCGGTTTCACTAAACTTTGTGAGGAATACCTCTGAAAAAAGGCATAAAGATCTAACATAGTGGTTGGCATTAAATTTTTGTCTTCCTTCCTTTCTCTCTCCCTCTTTGAAAAGCTCTTATAAGTTATGAGGAGTTTTAATGCAATACAGTGTTGCATAGAGTATAGAAATGTAGTTTAAGAAAGCTTTCATGACACTCACTCAAAAAGGTATCTGTGTCCCCATGTTCATAGCAGCATTATTTATAATAGCCAAGCATGCGAACAAACCTCAGTGTCCATTGGCAGGTGAATGGATAAAGAAGTTGGGATATGTGTGTGTGTGTGTATAAAAATGGAACATTTTCCAGCCATTAAAAAGAATACACAAAGAAATCCTGCCATCTGTGACAACATGGATGGACCTTGAGAGCATTATGCTAAGTGAAGTAGACAAAGACAGATACTGTATGATCTCACTTACATGTATCTAAAACAAACAACCCCAAGCTCATAGAAAAAGATATCAGGTTTGTGATTACCAGAGGCAGGATGTAGAGGGAGAGGGAATTGTAGAGAAGTGGTCAAGGGTACAAACTTCCAGTTACAAGGTATGTAAGTTGTAGCAATGTAACATACAGCATGATGACTCTGATCATCATGACGATATATGAAAGTTATTGAGAGTAAATCCTAAGAGTTCTGAAAGAAAAACAATATTTTTTTTCTTTCTCTCTTTATATATCTATACGAGACAATGGATGCTAACTACACTTATTGTGCTAATCACTTCACAGTATATGTAAGCCACACCATGATGCTCTACACCTTAAACTTACACAGCGATATATGGCAATTATTTCTCAGTAAAAATGGAAAAATTCTTTCATGGAAAAGAGAACAAGAGTATAGGTCATTGAATTTGGGCAAAAGAGAAATTGGGTAAGGCTGTCTTAAGAAAAAAATATTTTATTACCTGTGGAAACTGAAAGGAATGAGATGCATTGATATGCCAACAGTTGGGTATTTAGCTCTTTACTGACCGCAGAGAAGGACCAGTAGGAGTGAACTTTCTTAACGATACCTCCCTCTTTGCCCAGAATTCTTCTTGGCTGCCTTCTCAATAAACCCTCCATCCATATTCTTCCTTCTCTCCAGTCTTGGAAGAATAGGAACCTACCTGCCTCCTGGATTCTTCTGCACCATTTCACTTACCCCCTTTGATTCATAAATTACGTCTCTTTGGTTATCACCGTTTTCTTTTGCACCAATCTTATGTTTTCTAGGGAGATATTAATATGGTGGCTTAAATGGTGGGATAATACCTGCCCTGACTACCCTGAGGGATAAGGCTTTGTTCTAAGGATATGCTGAAATGTAAGTAGCCAGGAGAACTATCTGAACAGCTACATGTTTGGTTCATATTCCTGTGTTGGGAGAATAAATTTGCATCTTTCAGGTGTCATCTCTTGATTCATCTGCCATATACACACATGAAAGGGATCTGGTAGAGAGGTAATATAAAGCAGGAAAAGCACCAGCTCTGGATTCAGACAACTGCTTGAGTCTCTATGCTGCTTTCACTATTTCCTAGCTTGCCCGCCCTGGGCAGGTTATTTGAGCTCTCTTGGGCCTGGTTCTTCTTTTGTGTCATGGACATGATAGTAGCATCTGTACTCCGGGGCACTTTTCAGAGTGAAAAACCCGAATATGATACAGAGTCTGACATGTAGGAGCTTCCAGGAGATGCTAGCTCTCATCGTTATCATTTACGATTATTACCATTGTTATTGTCATTGTCATCAGCATTATGACATCTTTTCTTGGGGCTGTTTACCACTATCTCATATGGAGCATTCCTGTTTGGTAGAATTCCTCATCAGGCTCACTCAGAAGCATACAAGGGACTCTTAGATTACGGTGGAAAAGCAATGACACTAGAAATGTCCTTGGTAGCAAACAGTGAGTTCCTTGCCAAGGGCTTTATTTTATTGATTCTAGATTCCCTAGGACTTAGTACAGAGCTCAGTATATAGGGCTTTGTCAGTGAAAGTTGGTCAAATGAATTTGAGTGCATGGATTCAAAACCTTTCTCTTTGTATGTAAACCTGTTTTGTAAACTCCTTTTCCTCATATATACTCTACAGATAGAAGATGTGTGGTCAGAAAGGTGCTTTCTTAAACCAAACATTTTGTTCCATTTTACCCCGGGGGTATAAATGATCTTGACACCTATAGCTCTCTATCTGATTACTAATAAAATAAATTATACTGTAGCCTTTTAATTCTTTTAGTAAACAATTTGATTCAATCATCCCTAGATAGAGCCCTTCTTTCTACTTTGACTAGCCAAGGATAAGAAGAAATTCGGATAAAATTTCTTGGAAGTAAGTAATTTAAATGTACTCCTACTTCCTAATATTTCTTTTTAAAAAGGTGGACAACTAAATTTAATGAACAAACATAATGGTGGGAACATAGAAACTAGAAACTAGGCATTTTGAAGATAATAACTTTTAGGTGTATTTTTTTTTCTTTGTAGGGGGATGCATATAAAAGTTGTACCCATGCTAAAGTCATCCTGACTTATGCCTTTCTTAATTTTCATTTTGTATTTTTGTCTTTAACCAATGGATTTTTAGAAATGTTTTTGTGCTAAATGTTATAAGGACTTGGAAGTTATATTTTTATCTTATTTTTTGCAATCAAAGAATATGATCCATATGATGCCAATTTTAGTTAAAATTTTATTCCTAAACTAGTAAGTGATAATTTTTGCACATTCCATGAGTTTTTGTTTTTTTATTTTATTTTATTTTTAAAAAGATTTTATTTATTTATTTATTTATTTATGAGAGACAGAGAGAGGCAGAAACACAGGCAGAGGGAGAGGCAGGCTCCATGCAGGGAGCCTGACGTAGGACTAGATCCCCGGTCTCCAGGATCACACCCTGGGCTGAAGGTGGCGCTAAACCACTGAGCCACCCGGGCTGCCCCTCCATGAGCTTTTATAGCTCAAGCTTGTGAATTGTACAATTCAAATGTTCTTTATTCTGTCTTTCCCCCCAATTGTTTGCTCTGTCAGTTGCTGAGAAAGATATATTAAAATATGCATTATTATAATGTATTTGTCAATTTTTCTTTCACTTTTTGATGTTATGTTTGTAGGTTTTATTTTGTTTTAATATTTATGTGTAGAATTATTTATCTTCCTTTTATAATCTGATGAGGCCTTAATAATGATTCATACCTTAAAGTTTATATTGTCTGATATTGATAGAGTAACTGATTTATTTGGTTAATTTTTGCCTGTTATCTGTTTGTAGCCCTTTATTTTCAGCTTTCTATATGTTATATGTATCTCTTATAACCACTATATGTCTAGATAAAAAACTCTTAATTGATGAATTTAATCTATTTATATTTATTGTAATCCCTGATATTTGAATTCTTTTTTGTCATCTTATTTTATGCTTTTAAAAATTTCATCATGGGGCACCTGGGTGGCTCAGTGAATTAAGCATCTGCCTTTGGCACAGGTCATGATAGTAGGGTCTTGGGATCAAGCCCTGCATCAGGCTCCCTGATCAGCCATGAGTCTGCTTCTCCCTTTTCTTCTGTGATCTCTCTTGTTCTTACTCTCTCTCAAATACATAAATAAATAAAATCTTAAAAAAAAAAAACCTTTAAAAATTTTTTTCATCATGTATTTTCTTTTGTTCCTTTTTGGAATTGATCCCATTTTCTTGTGTTTGTTTGTTTGTTTTCCCCATTTTCTTTTTTCTTTTTTTTTTTCTCTTCTAGTTTGGAAATCATACGTTCTATTTCAATTCTTTAGCAACAATTCTATTTTTAGCATGATTAATTTGAGAGTTCAAGCCACCCTAAGAGAGATTTGTCTTCCCAAATAAAGAATCTTAGGAAGTTCTAGCCAAAATTATTCCTCTCTCATCTTAGTTGTTATTATCCAGCATTCAGTTCTACCTTATATCTGTACCTCCAAAAATTATTTTATTCATTCTGTGTTTATTAGGTTTTCTCTCATATTTAACCAATTTATTTTCTTACTATTGCATCTTGAATTTCATTGCTTCTCTTGGGTTCATTTTTCTTCATCCCAAATAGCACAGTAGTTATTTCAAAAGGGCTGTGTGTGATACATCTTTTTAATCTTTGCTTAATTGAAATGTCTTTAGTTTATCCTCACTCTTGAATGATAGTTTAACTGGGAATGTAATTCTAAAATGAAGATTTCTCCCTTCCCCTGCCCCCCTCCGTCTTAAAGACATTATCCCATTTTGTTTCTGACCCATAAACCTATAGTAACTGAGACCTATTGATACCAGGACAGGAGTAAATCAAAATCTTAAATGTGTATATGCCTTGGTTCAGTTACCTGACTTCTTTGAATTTATTTTAGGGAATGAATTGGATGCATGTAGAAAGATACATTTTCATTGTATTATGAATACTACCGAAGAAATTAGTACCAACCTAGATTTCCATCAACAGGAGACACTTTATTTTTTTATTTTGTATTTTTTTAACAGGAGACACTTTAGATAAAGTGATACTATCTGCATAAAACAGAGTGCTGCATAGATTTTTAAATTGTACAATGATGCAGGTTTAGTAAAGAGATAAAAAATAGTATATATACTGTGATATAAGTGTTGCATATAAAACATGAAGAAATAAAAAGCATTGAAAGAAAACTAAAAGAATTTATGCCAAAATTTGTGCTCTTCTATATTTTTCAGATTTAAAGAGATATATTACTTGAACATATTAGTTTGTGTAAATATGTAAAAAGAATACATATATGTACATGTAAGCACATACACATATAAACATTTTAAGAATGTATTATAAAATATATATTATTTGATAATTGTTTGGAAATATCAATATTCAGTTCCTAACTTTTCCCTATCTTTTGTCTGAAGAAAATTCCTAATTCTGTCGTTTGGAAACTGAGGTATGTCAGCACTCTTTAAAAGAGAAATGGGGGGTATCCCTGGGTGGCTCAGTGGTTTGGCGCCTACCTTCGCCCAGGGCATGATCCTGGAGTCCCAGGAATCGAGTCCTGCATCAGGCTCCCTGTGTGATGCCTGCTTCTCCCTCTTCCTGTGTCTCTTCCTCTCTCTCTCTCTCTCTCTGTGTGTGTCTCATGAATGAATAAATAAAATCTTTTTAAAAATAAATAAAAGAGAAATAGGTTTAGTGTCATAGATGATCTTGAAATGGGAGACCTTAAGTTCATCTAGGCTATTGTTCCTAAAAATTCATGTTTTGATTTTGTTAAAATAGTCACAGATGTAATAATCTTTGGTACGTGCCCTGCAGGTTCCAAGAATAAGTCAGGCTTCTGTTCTGAGATACATTGTGAGGATAGACTCAGGTCTTACAGTGAAGTCATTACCTCACTCTTGCCCTGCCAATCCAGGGAACTTGAATATTGGGTTGGGGAAGCCACAGGAAAATACTGTTATCATCTTTCCGGTTTAGGCTCCCGGAGAGAAAGGTGTGGGTACCGTGTTATGCGAAGGCAGAAGAGTTCCGATGAGCAGCTGCACTCCCTGAGCAAAGCCAAGAAAAATGGTGGCCATGTGACCCGAGTGAAGGAGCTGCTGCTGAGCGCCCTGAGCCCGGAGCAGCTGGTGCTCACGCTCCTGGAGGCTGAGCCGCCCCACGTGCTTGTGAGCCGCCCCAGCACGCCCTTCACCGAGGCCTCCATGATGATGTCCCTGACCAAGCTGGCCGACAAGGAACTTGTGCATATGATTGGCTGGGCCAAGAAAATTCCAGGTAGGGCTTTCTGGATCATAGCTTTTCATTTATGGTAGAAAGGCCTTCCCCTGACATCTATAGGGCAAGAGTACAAAATGGATATCCACAAATGATATCTGGGTGTGTAACAGCTTTACATCCTGATTTATAATCTTTAAATGAAATATATTCTTTCTTCCTATCTTGACTTGTATGCCTTCAACATGTACTGGAAGGTCACGCTCCAATTTAGAATTTTTGGACTCCTCTTTTTCCCACGCCAGAACTATCCCACAGTGCCTTGTTCACACCCCATCTTCCATGTCCACATCTCCTATACACACTAGCCTGTTGGACACCTCTTATGCCGAGATGTGGTCTGAGAGGGTGGACCCAAAAAGAAGCCCACTCAGCTCTGGGAGTGGGCTTGGGACCATTTGGGCAAAAAAGTTCTAGGGTCCTGGGACCCGGAACATGGTCTAAAATGATGGAGTCTGGACTCCACATTGAGCTGTCTCTTGGCTGTGGACTCTGCACCTTGAGAGTAGGGGTGTGTGCAGGTGAAGGTGGGGTAGGGTGTCATATGACTAGTATGCAAGTGAGAGGTTTGCCACATGTGAAATAGAAATGTATAAAATATCATTTCAATAAAGAAAGAATCAGTATTATGGATATAAATGAATATACATGGGCAAATAGAGTGAGTCAGCAGCTGGGATAGCATGAATCATCCATAAACCCGGAATGCCATTGTGTTAAAAATGCATTTGGTGGTTCAACAAGAGTTGTCATTTAGCACCTGCATTTTCCCTTCTATGTCCCTTCCACAGGCCAGTTTGTAATATATGCCTGAGATACTGCATTGTGCTAAAATTACCATCTAGTTATCATTTGAATTGGTGTTTCTGTGAAAAGGAATCTAGAATTCTAACACAGAATGGCACCAACCCATCCCCCTGAAAGGGCTTCTCCAGGCACATATTTACAATCATCTAAGAAATTAGGTCTCTCTCCAGGTTCTAGGCCACTAGGGACAATCCCCATGGCCTTGGGGCAGCAGCCGCTTTAGACAGGGTATACAGCCTGGGAGCCGCTGGAAAGCTGGATGAGAGCTGTGGATAAAGAGCGGTGGGACCCCAGGCCTGGTAGAAGAGTATGTCTTGGGTAATTTGGTGGCTTGAACCTGTTCCTTCTGAGCTTCCTGAGGATCTTCTGGTTTCTAGTTTTGTTTTGATAGTCTGGATCTTCACCTTAGCCAGAATCATGTTATTTTCTCTGCTCTTTTTGTAGGAGACAATACCGACACATTCCTTGAGCTGTTGCTCTAATGTATATGCCAAACACTGCTTTTCAGGACCCCACGTGGTGATGAAATTGATGACATTGAAAGCCATGCAGCTTCTTTGTGCTGTAACCAAACTGAATTCTTGAGCTGCATTAGTCCCTCTTCAAGCCTGGTGTTTTAAATTTTTTTTTTAGAAAATAGTCTAAAGGAGTGCTTTTTCCCCCTCTCTCTTAATGGGTATAATTTAATTTCCCAAATTAAAAAAATAGTAAAGTACCACCTATCTTGATCTTGTTGAATATCTGCAAATATAAGAAACCTAATCTCCCAAAAAAAAAAAAAAAAAAAAAAAAAAGAAACCTAATCTCCCATGGGCAAGCTTCTTGTCTGGAACTGCAGGCAAGGTTGGAACGTGTACACATATGAGGCCAAGGGGCAGCTTTGGAAAAGGACTGAGCCATCTTCCCATTCATTACTCCTTTCAGCTTTCCTTTGTACCCTCTGGCATTATATTGTTCTCAGGCTTGAACCACATGTGCTTCCTGTGTCCTGGTCTCCTCATCTGTAAAATGAGGATCCTGAGAGATGCTACCTGCAGGACATTCCCAGAGGGTAGGCATTGTCACTCTCACTTTTTTTCTGTAAGGAAATCAACTTAAACAGAGATTGAATAATTGGCTAGGAGGCTGAGCCGGGATCCTAACCGGAGTCCAGTACACTCCTGGGCCACGTGTTTGATTAATTTTATATTACACTGCCTTCTCTTTTATCATGGTTTATGGATAAAGCTCCAGTGATCTCTGCCTTATTTTGCTTTTAAGGTGCTCACCTCCCTAGAGATGACCTGTTTCTTTCCAATTTTTGGACCAGTCCATCCAGGCTATCAGACTACTGGGACCTGCTTCGATTGTTAGATTTGCTTTTCAGGATAGAATAGCCTAGAGATAGCGCTCCTATTCAGAAGAATGATTCTAACCCTGAAACTTTAAGCAATCAGAGATATTTTTCATTTGAAACCTTGACTTTCTGCAGGGGCTGGTGCTGTTCTCTCTGCGCGTCCCACCCTCCTCATCCCCTAGCCCATAACACCCTCCATTCCATTCCCCCCACTCCGAGCCCATCCCTCTTCCCCCCTCCCAGCCTCTATTGTGGGCCAAACAGGCAGCCTTAAGCTGGCAGCTGATTATTTTTCTCAGCAGTTCAGAGGAATTTTAAAAATATAACTAAAGATGATCTGTTCCAGCTTTCTGTTCTTCCCTAGCATTTGTCTGGGGAGCTATAAGCCCAGATAACAGTCCTTTATAAATCCTGAATGGAATGTATTAGTCTCTAGGAGGCATCCAAGGCTGGACATTGTGAATTGCATACTTTGAATTTAAAATTTCCGTCCTTCATCAGCATTGAACCACATCTTTAAAATGTTGAGTGCTTCCCTATATCGTTTGTGTTTTCATAGCTTGTTAAAACTTGCTCTTCTGTTTTCACAGAAACGGGGAGTTGAGGAGGAGAGTGGGTATGTCTCATGGCCTCTTGCTTTCCCCAGGCTTTGTGGAGCTCAGCCTCTACGACCAAGTGCGCCTCCTGGAGAGCTGCTGGATGGAGGTGCTAATGGTGGGCCTCATGTGGCGCTCCATTGACCACCCGGGCAAGCTCATCTTTGCTCCAGACCTCGTTCTGGACAGGTGAGAAAAAAATGCATTGTGTTTCTTCTCTGCCCTGTGTGAGTCCTGGCTGCCACAATTTAAATCTCACACCTAAAAGGGAAATTAAGAAGATGATAATGTCATGAGCTCCTTCCCCACATCAAGAACTGAAGGAGGAGAGCGTGAGTTCTTAGATTCAGTGTTGGGTGACTCGTTCTTACCTGGGGTGGGGCGGCATTTATAGACCAGACCATAACAGGGCCTATCTCCTGCAGAATATGTGGCTACTAAATGTGCAAGTCTGCTTAGGCTTTTCTATATTAAAAATTCCATTTTCAGTTTATAATTTTAAATTGTCTTGTTATTCAGTTATTCAAGTTTCCACTTGTAGGGACCATGTTTGTCTGTCTAGACAGGTGATAAAATTCTTAGAAATCTGTGAAGTTTATTTGAATGTGCTTTAACTCTAACTGCATGCACTTTAACATTTTTGACAATAGCAGTGGAAGGAATGGTTACTAAAACTGAATGAAAGGTAATGGAAATTGGGGAATGATAGTGACAATGCCATCACTCGACTACAATTTGCGTCTTTTAAAGATGGTACAGAAAAGGAGCCAGTTTCCAATGACTCAGATGAACTCTTTATGGAGGAAAAGTTAGAATATACAACACTCAAAATTTTAGTATGGAAAGTAGAACACTTTCTTGTTCTACATTTGAGCAGTAGAAAATCTTAATGGAAATTGATTTCCACATTCCTTATTTTGAAAAAGTTCTAAAGTAGAATGTTCAGTCACATTTGACTCTGCACAGAGTAGAAGGATGCCATTGTATGAATGGAGAGCATCTGCCCCCAACTCTTGGTATTACCTCTTTGGATCATCAGAAGACCCCCTATGCACATATTTCACAGCTAAAAAGTGATTCCCCCAAGGTTTTAGCACCCATTCTGCCTGTTGTCCTGGATGACAACGTTGACAAAGAGCACTGTTCTAAGTAATGGAGGTGTTTTAGTCAAGAATGGAACCTTTGGGAAGAGCTGGAACATGGGTTGTGGTTCAAGCAGGAGCAAGTCCAGGTGTTGAACCATAGAAGAAGGTTCTTGAAGCCCAGACCCTTCAGTAGCAATCAAAATAGCCAACATATTGGCTTGTATATGCCAGGCACCATCTGAAGCACTTGATGTGTTAACTAATTTCATCTTCTTAAGAGCCCTTTTCAAGTAAGTGCCATTATTATCTCTATTTTGGAGATATGGGGGAGGTTTACGTAATTTTCCTGCAGTTACAGAGTAGTAAGTGGTGGTGCTAGATGTGGGGGCTGGCTGTGAAGTCCATGTTTTTAAATATAATGGTAGTTACCTGTATAATAAGACATGCCTCTCAGTGGGATAGAAAACTGGAAGGGGAAAGAAGAGACTGAAAGGCTAAGTAACTTTCTACTTTATTCTTTTTTCTTAACGCAACCCTATTCTACTCTCTTCAGGCTTCAGAAACCTACTCCTCTTGCTTTCCTCTAAGATACCATGTTGTAAGGCAGGCTGAAAGGCCAAGCACCTGGCCAAGACATCACTGTCATTCATTCATTCATTATGTTCCACTTGGTGTTCAAATGAAGTACCTCCTCCCCCCCCCCCCCCCCGCTATATACACCTATAATTCTGGAAGTTAGTGCTAGGAAGAAGTTTCATCCCTTGATGAGTCAATACATTTTGTAGACATTGGGATTAAGTTATTTTACTTTTTGTCTTGATTTCTAAATTGATGCCACATTTAATGTTTATGTTCAGTGACTATTTCATTCCTGGTTTTTGGTAGAATTAACTCTTCTTTTGGGTTCTTTAATTCCTCTAAGTGTAAGTTATTGTAAATGGACATACATCCTAGGCAGATTTTAGGCCTACCTTTTGGTTAAGTAATGGAAGGGGGAAAAACTAATTTTTCTTACAAATTATTTTAATAGACTCACTTTTAAAAGATTTTATTTATTTTATTTCATTTTATATATTTATTTGATAGAGCAGGGGGAAGGGTAGAGGGAGAGGGATAAGGAGACTCCATGCTCTGCGTGGAGCCTGATGTGGGGCCTGATCCCATAACTCTGAGATCATGACCTGAGCCAAAATCAAGAGTTAGATGCTTAACCGACTGAGCCACCCACGTGCCCATCCCATTACTTTTTATATATATTTGAAAGTGTCATGTTGTATGGCATACAAACCTAGTATATCTGAGTATAGGAGAGCTGTCTCTGGAATTGTAAATGCCTTCACACAGAGTGGGCATTTTTTTTTAAGATTTTATTTATTTATTTATTCATGAGAGACACAGAGAGAGAGAGAGGCAGAGACACAGGCAGAGAGAGAAGCAGGCTCCATGCAGGGAGCCTGATGTGGGACTTGATCCCGGGACTCCAGGATCACGTCCTGAGCCGAAGGCAGGTGCTCAACCGCTGAGCCACCCAGGTGTCCTGCAGGCATTTTTGGTAGTACCTATCATGGTTATTTTTTTGTTGCAATCCCGTATCATCAACACATAAACTTTGTGAAGTCTAGAATTTCAAGTCCAAGATAGTTCAGTTCCTTCATGTGTGTATGATACAGATAAATATTGTTTTATGTAATGAGTGTGTTTCTGGAGGAGTTACCTATTCAAAAATGCTCTAAATGTTCCTTATTCAAAAAGTCAGAGATTACACATCATAAAGAAGTTCTATTATGAGGTTTTGCTGCAACATGAATAAATAATCTGCATGGTGCTTAAAAATCACTGTCTTTTGGCAGATTGTCCTATCAGAGTTCCTTCCAATGGTAGTGTGATCGTAGATGCTGTGAATACAACTAAATTAGCTCACTTGTACAGACTGAGACAATAATTGCTGTTGCCCTTTATTCTTGTTGAGGCTTCTGTAGTGAGAAAACTTGAACCTACTCGGGATGATAAACCCAGTTATATCAGCTTATTTCTGACAAGGTGGTTCTTCTCTCAGTAATCACTAGAGTCACACATTCATGTGGAGATCTGCCACAGAATCGGAGCTTCTGCTTGCTTAAAAAAATTGTGTATCCTATAATATGTTGTGTCTGTGACATCAACAGGAAACAGTCTAATGTTAAATAGTAAAAAGTCGGAGGGAGTTTGGATTGGAGCTTATGCCCCATTGTGGACATTTATAGAGTTCCATGGAATCATATTGTACATGTACTGAGTTTGGATTCACGTTAGTTTTTTGTGCATTGAATTTCAAGATACCCAAAGAATTTTCACTTTAAAAATTTCATCTCCTTTTTGTATGCAGGTAATTTTCACGTTGGTTTAATATTTAAGTCCTCCATGTGTGTTAAGCCTGGAGTCCCCCACCCAAATGCGCCCCCCCCTTCCCCTCAATGGAAGTGAACTGGCAGCCATGTGTGTGCTGCCAGCAGATATAGATGTAGGTACAAAAATAGTGCATCCAAAGCAAGATCCACTCATTCAACATTTTGTCCTTGGTACTAACAGAATCTTTTTCTTTTATAAAGGAGTGGTTATCATATAATAAGATGTTCCACATGTACTTTTATTTTTGCTTAGTCCTAGTTTATGGCCCAGTGCTTGCAAAAGTAACCTCCATGAGTGGACTGGTTTGATTGATAGATTGCTTTGATATCTTAACAATCAAATCCTATGATCTCTCCCTTTAATTCAAATCTTTTTTTCTTTTTAAGATTTTATATATTTATTTGAGAGAGAGACAGAGATAGCGACAGAGAGTTGCAGGTGGGGAGGAGAGGGAGAAGCAGGCTCTCCATGGAGCAGGGAGCCCTACTCAGGACTTAATTCCAGGACCCCAGGATCATGAGCTGAGCTGAAGGCAGATGCTCAGTTTCATTTTGTAGTTATTAAATAAGTATAATAGATGTCATTAATGTATTACTTAAAAACCTTTCCTCTGTATAACTTGTTTTAGGGCAGAACTTGATTAAGGTGTCATTTATGAGATACTGTGTACCTTATTTCCTATATTTCTCATTTCTTTCCTAAAAAAATGTATTTGGTTTCCCCAGCCTGTGAAGTGAATAAAAGTATTCTAACTTTACCACCTCTTGAATAAAATGGTTGACTGTTACACTTGGTAGTAAAAGCAATCAGACTTAGTTCTTTAGAATTGGTTTAGAGATTCACTTTTTCCATGAGGTACACGTTCTGATTACTGTGAGTTGCAGCATTTCTCAGGGTTTAGGATGCTCTAGAATATAAACTCTCCCTCCGTTTTTGAAATATGAATTTGCATTTAAAATGGCATTCATTTCTATGAGGAAATGATACAAACCTCAATATTCAGGGATGTGTTTTTAGGTACAAGTGGCAACCTCTGCAAAATAGGATTGATTTCAGATGAATCCTCTTATACTGTTTGGGGAGTGGCGTGTGTGTGCATGCATGCGTGTACATGTATACCTACATGTTCATGACCGCACCTCTGACTGAGTCTCACAGAAAAGTAAAGAGCCAGTCTATTAAATAATCAGTACATGATTTGGTGGGTTTTTTATTTTTGGCCCCAGAGATATTTTATTTTATTCTGAGATTTTATTTTTAAGTAATCTCTGTACCTAATGGGAGGCTCAAATTTACAACCCCAAGATCAAGAGTCACATGCTCTACAGATTGAGCCAGCCAGTCACCCCTCCTACCCGGGGAAATTTTAGAACCAGCTTTTCTTGGTGTCAAATGTCCTCAAGCCTAACAATTAGAATTTTCAATAATTAATTGTTCCCAAGCACAGTGATTCAATTATGTGGCATGAGGGGCATTCAGCAAACAGGTAGTTCTTGTGCATCTGCAATGTGCAGAGAATGCATTATCCTTCCTGGGCACTTGCCGCAGGCTGCCTGGGAGAGTCCAGAGCAGAGGAGGTGGGAAAGATGGGACTTAGGGAGGTTTGGAGGTTTCCTACAGATTTTGGCACCCTTTGCTGAAGGCTGATTCTCCAAGGTAGCTTTTCTCTGTGACTTCGAGGAGGCATTAGTGCTTATCAGTTAACCCGTGCGTTTTCAGGAAGCCTCAAGTGGTTGCAGAAGTTGTGTTTGTTTAGAACTCAGAGTTTGCTTGCTTATAGCTTTGTGTAGGTGAGTCTGGGAGTTCGAATGCTGTGGGATGCAGGATCTTGGCAAGCTGCTATCCTCACATAGAACCCAGCGGGAAATGCTCCACCAACATTGTTGGTTCCCCTGGTGTCAGTTCATTTGAATTCCACAGAGACGCTTTCCTCAGCCAACACCATCACTGGAAATGTCCTGGCTTGGGTTTGGGGGAAGGAAAAGAAGGAATAGCCAGTTCTCTGAAGATCTCAGATCCCCGTCAGGGTTTGCGGGGGGGGGGGGGGGAGACTTAACATGAAACTCACAGACGCCCGCTGCTGCCAGGCTCCCCTTCACCATGTGCTGCAGGTGTTGAGAAGCAAATCAAAGTTTCATGGCACAATCATCTAAGAGCTTGTCAAGAGCTTCCAGTGACTAGGACTGATGACAATAGAAGTTTTTTGGGGGAGCAGTGAAGCAGAATAATTTATGTCTGGCTGGAGTGAATTGAAGCTGGTATTTTCTAAATACAGTTCAAGTAATTTCCTTCAAAAGTATGCATAAAAATTCATTTCTATGAGTGTTCAAAAGAATTTTGATTATATGGTTCAAAGTTTGTCTAAAATTTTTTGCTTAAAAATAATCTTTGGCAAGTCAAAAATGTTCATGTCTCCATTCCTACCTTCCTTTCCTGGTTCTAATCTGTCTTCTCTAATTGTGCTTTCTTTGTGTGTCATACTAGCTTTTTTTCAAGTTACATTAAACGTCTCTTAGTTGCCCCACCAGTTTCTAAATAACCACCACAGAGTGAAGTAAACCCTAAATGTGAAGGATTGTTTCTTCTTAGGGCATTTGCTTTGGTAACATTCTGTTTTCCTCATTAGCACTTCAGAGTCTTCTGATGGGAACATGGAATGTCTCAGTTTAGCAATATGTGTCATAACTATGGCTGGTTGGCTGACATGATTTAGATAGAAAATAATCAACAGAAATGGTATTCCATTAAAGAAAACATTTGGTGAGCAGGTAAAATGAAAGTGTATTTCCAATGCAGATTTTTTTCCTAAATAGTATTTATTCAAATGTTTGCTTCTGGAATTTATAGAAAGTCCCCTGTCCTCTTTATATGAAGATGATTTTAGTAATTTTGTATTACTGCAGGGACTTTCTTTTACCATTTTGTTAAAGGATGTACTGATGAAATATGAAATTAACAAGAGAATATTCCTTATTTCTTTTGATGGTTGCCCAGTGCTGCATATTTCTTAAATTTCCCAATGAACTTTTGTAGGGATGAGGGGAAATGCGTAGAAGGAATTCTGGAAATCTTCGACATGCTCTTGGCAACAACTTCAAGGTTTCGTGAGTTAAAACTCCAACACAAAGAGTATCTCTGTGTCAAGGCCATGGTCCTCCTCAACTCCAGTAAGTAGCCACACAGCTGGGCTGTGTTTTAGTGGGGAGAGTTGCTGTTTCTAGAACTGGCATGGAGTGAAGAACAGTATTGAACTTATTTTATCCAAAGAGGGCAAAATGGCTTTCTTTTTTGACTTCTCTGTTTCATTTTATAGGGATTTAAACTTATAGGGTAGTTAACTTTTGGTAACTTGAATATAAAGTATTCACTGGCTGAATTACTGGTAGTAATTTAAAAAGCAGCTCAAGCCACTTTGCTGGAAAAAAAAACCCTGAACTTTAAAATACTTACTTTGTAGCCTTTGTTCATTATACAGGCATCTTACATGATTGACCTGCATTTATATTTACTGTTTTGCTTTTATGGATTCATTCATTCATTGATTTCATTTATTCATTTGGTGAAGATGTTGAAGATATAGTCCTGCCTTTCAGTAGCTCATAGCATAGGGAGGGAGAGAGAGAAGACAAATCATTAAAATGATCGGTGGTCTAATAGAGTATGTACAGAGTACTGTGGGAAACCAGGAGAGACACTTGTAGTGGTTGCAGAAAGAAAAAATGTTTGAGTGTGTCTTCAGGGTTGGGCATATTAGCAGGACAGGGAAGGAGTAGGTGTGGAGGGATGAAAACACCTGGTGGAGGGATGCCTGGGTGGCTCAGCGGTTGAGTGTCTGCCTTTGGCTTAGGGCATGATCCTGGAGTCCTGGAATCAAGTCCCACACTGGGCTCCCTGCATGGAGCCTGCTTCTCCCTCTGTGTCTCTGCCTCTCTCTCTTTCATGAATAAATAAATAAAATCTTAAAAAAACAAACAAACAAACAACCTGGTGGGGCCAGGAGCTGCAGGTTGTGAGGTAGAAGAGCAGAGGGAGATGTGCATAGTTATGAAGGGCAGTGCCAAGCCAGAGATTACACTGCACACCTTGGCCAAGGACTGCCCCTCGAGGTACTGCGCAGCCCTAGAAAAGGTTCAGACAGTGAGTGCTGGACAAGTGTTCCATAAAGATCACTCTTGCTTCCATGTGGAGATTGGAGAGGGGAGAGACAGGCAGGGACCTGAGGGCCCAAGCAGAGTCGTCAGGGACAATGGGAGCCTGAACTGAGTTGGTGTGCAGAACCAGGCAGGAAGCGCCTGCATTGTTAACTTAGGGGTTAGAGGTGGGAAGTGAGGGAGGTGTCAAAGACAAGTGGGTGTTGTAGCGTTGCTGCTCTGCTCTTATTATGTAAGCAATACCTGGTTATTGTCAACATTCAAAGAAGAGAAAAACATAAAAGGAAGAAAAAAATCACAGGAATCTCCCCCGTGCCTGGGCAAGATAACCATTATAACACTGGTGACTGATCTTTAACAGCTCTCTGTAGATAGACAGCTCTTGTTTGATGTAGGCAGGTAGATAGAGATGGGTAGGTAGGTAGGTAGACAGATACACACACACATATAGAGAGAGAGCTAGCCATTTATACACAGGCTTATATGTATAATTTTTCATCAACAGCATAGCATCTTATGTTAAAAATTTAAAGACTTTGAAAGAGGCTTGCTGTGATCTAATTATTTGCTTGACTCTTCCACCCCAACACCAAATAACTCATCTTGCTGGAAGATAGACTTCATACCTTCTTCTATTCTCGAATAATCTTTTTTTTTTTTAAGATTTTATTTATTTACTCATGAGACAGAGAGAGAGAGAGAGAGAGAGAGAGAGAGAGAGAGAGAGAGAGAGAGAGGCAGAGACACAGGCAGAGGGAGGAGCAGGCTCCATGCAGGGAGCCCGACATGGGAGTCGATCCCGGGTCTCCAGGATCACGCCCTGGGCCCAAGTCAGCGCTAAACCGCTGAGCCACCCGGGCTGCCCTATTCTCTAATAATCTTTTAAAATAATATCTCACCTTCAATATCCACAAAGATGAACTCCCCCCTCCCCATTTAAAAAAAATTAGGACACATATATACGAATACTTCTCTGTGTCCTGCTTTTTTTACTTTTCAAAATGCTGTAAAATTCTTCCAGGTCAACTAGGAGAGATCTAACTCAATCTTGAATGAGGACATTGTCTAATCTAAGGTGTTCAACTGTTTCTTTATTGATGGACATTTACTTAATTACAGCTTTTATTTATTTATTTATTATTTATTTTTGCCATTATAAACATTGCTGCAGTAAAAATGATGGTGCTACTTCGCACACATTTCTAGGTTTCTATGTAGTGTTCATACTGTTCAGTTTACTGACCTGGTATTTGGCCCAGCTGCTATCCCCGGTGTCGATTGCTTTGCTTAGCTATTTACACTTGTTGGTTTATCTCTTTCCGAAATTATATGTATATGCAAGTTTTAATCCTCAACTGATGACTTACAGCTCACTTCATTTGGGCATCATTTGGGACTTTACTCCCTGGATCTTATCTGACCTTAGAACTTCTATATTTGAAATGATAGGAATCTGTGGGATCGTATTATACTACTTTATTTTAAATCAGCCAAAGCAGCAGTTCCTGAAGCCAAAACTCAGTGCAGAACCTGTGGCTATGTTCTGGGGCCAACTGACCTCTCCTTCAGTTGCCTATGCTTTTCTGTATGTTGAACACCCCTATATACTCTTGGACATTGGCACTGGATTTGGTGAAGGGGAAAGGGAAACATACAGGGCAGTGCTTCTCAAGCTGTCTGTGGTGAGAGATCAGGTTCTTTTTCTTTTTTTTAACTTCCATATTTTTACAGTTACTTTTGTAAAATATAATAAAAATAAATTACTAGAAAAAATGGAGTAAAAGTGTAAAATATAGGTCCAATTTTCTTATTAGATAAAATTGATTTAAAATTAGTGTCAATTGCTACAAGAGTTTCCCCATGCTTACCCTCAATTTCTGCTTATCTCTGTGGACTGATAACAGACCATACTTTGAAAAGCCCTCATATAGAGCATGGAGATAGATGGGCTGGATCTGGGCTAAGTCTTGAGGGAGGGGGAAAAGGGGAACAAAGAAGGAATCTGAGGGTCATGTGAGGTACAGAGACCCTGTAGACACCCTTTGGGTACTGCCCAGTTGGGTTTTACTCTGGCTCTACCTGCCTGGCGGGATATTTTCTTTGCACCCAATGCACTCTCAACTGCAGCTCGGGAAAACGATTTGTGACTAGAACAATGGTCAATTGTTGGACAAATGAAAATTGTAGGGAAAGCCAAAGAAGCCTCTGGGGCTTCTGGTACCTTCTTCACATTTGTTACCATTCACCTTTTACAACGTATCACAAGGGCCCAGCTTACATCAGCAATTGAGGTGATGTGCATATAGAAAATGTCCTGCTGAGACATTTGAAATTCATCATGGAAGAAAACCAACTTTTCCTGATCTCTTTGAACCCACCTATAGACCTTACCTCACAGGTGTGCTGCCCATTTCTGTCTTTGTTAAAGGGAGGATTTGCATGAAAAGTACATTCCCATCTTGGCACAGGAGGATGATCAAACAAGAGATTACAGGGCTTCTCTTACTTTCAGAAATAATTTAGAACTCTTTTCTGTGCAGCAAAGGGCTCCTTGGAAAGCCATTTGCTTCTTGTTACAACACTCTGCAGCATAAAGCCTTCTGTTTGGCAAGGCTCCTTACCGTCAGATTAGCCTCCGAGACATCATATTGTGTTGTTGTGAAAGCTAGAAGCATCATCTGTGCAAATAGAAAACACTAGGCTACGGCATTCCTCCTGCAGCATCTGACAGGACTGCCATGTGAAGAGAATTACAGAGGGTGAGTCAGGCACGTGATGTAATTACCACTTGTGGTGGTAATTGGAGTAGAATTTGTTTACAGTAAATCTACATTTAGGAAATCTTCTTTTAACAAAGTTCCTTTCTCGCTCAGTAGTCATAACAGTTGTCAAATGGGTTTAGGAAAATGGGATTCTGTTTCTACTGGAAAATTTCCACTGTCAGGAGAGGGGCCTTATCTGTGCTGGATTTTAAGCATTTGAAAGTGTAGGCTTTGTTGTTTTTGTTCTGGATTATTTGTAGTGTTACATTAAAAATAAGGACAGAATCTATGTTCCCACCTTAAATTAAAGAAAAACCCTAGAGAATGTACAGAATACACATTGGACAACAAACCATACATGACAGTGATCCCCAAGAGAAGGGACATGAACAGAATGAAGCCTTTGATCACCCAGTTTCCTATGTAGAGCCAACTTCCAGGTTCCATAGGGAGAGTAGATCCCGTTGGCCTCCTTGCACTGGGAAGACAGAGTTGTGAATTTGGGGAGGCCACCGCAGCTGGGATTTGCAGGGGAGGAGACAGCTGGTGAGGGAAGAGCTGGATGCAGAGGCTTGGTGGATCTGTAGCAGATGCCCTTCAAGTCCAGCTGAGCACTAATCTCATGCTTATGAGGATACTTACCCAAGGACAGAGAAAGAGCCATCAGAAGAAGCAGGCAGGATAATCCCTAGCATTCACTCAGGGCCAAGATTAGTTCATGTTCTCACCAGCCAGAGGAAAAACCTTGTAATATATTGGACATCAGATATAGTGCCCAAAAAGGTGTTGCATTAGTAGTGAGGCAAACCTAGCCCTAGACTAAATGCTGCACTGGTCTTTATAAACTTGACTTAAAAGCATGCCTGAAGGATCAAACTCATTGTAAAGTAACTTAACTGCATCGTGGAATAAAGTTCAAGAATATTTAAAAGAATACAAGAATATCCAGTACCCAACCAGGTAAAACTTGCAATGTCTGATAACGCATCAAAAGTTAGCAAGCATGCAGAGAAGCAGAAAACATGACCTTCTAATGAGGAGAAAAACCAATAAATCAGAAAAGACCCCCAAATGATACAGATGATAGAATTAGTAGACAAGGACATTAAAACAATAGTTTAGTAACAATAATTACTATGACTATTTTCCAGAAGCCTAAGATGTAGAGGAAAGCATGAACAGATTTAGTGGAGACATGGAAAAAATGAAACATGCATAAAAACTTCTGAATGTGAAAATTATGTCTCCATGGGA